AATCACGACTCGTGTATAAGAAGAACTGTGCAACGTATATTGAATAACACGTGCATCGTCACTTTTTGAGGTTAAGTTTTAAATTCACTCGTTACAAAAAACCGCAAGAGCAACTATTCTCGATTCGTATTAATTTCGCTGGACACACTAACTTTCACTGCTCGAATAACCGCACAAACGCAACAGTGCTTATAAACCCGCGAAATTTAAAAATATCTTAACCTAAATTTTACGTTATAATTATTATATTATAAAAGTTACTATATTTTTTGTATATTTATGGTTGTTATAGAGATGTTTATAAAACTTTATAAAATTATGCAAAGAATTATTACTATAGTTACTTCAACGATATTTAATTTTAAATATGATTTTATTGAAAAATAATTTCGTAATTTTCAGAACGAAATGTTCGACTCGGGAAACGATCCTGGATCAACGGTAATTCGAACCAAGAGAATTGGATCTCTGTCTATCGTAAATTCCCTAGACGTTTTGAGGCAAAGAGTTCTCCTTGAACTTGCTCGACGTAAGGCGTTACAGGATCAACGCCAAATCGACGCGAACCGCCGTATCTTGGAAACTATTGGAAAAAGATCTTTACCCCTTTACAATAGAGACATGCCCAAATCCGTTGACTCGAGAATAAGAAACGGAATACAATATATAATCGAAGAAGAAGGAAAAAGTAACGATCAAAATATAACTCCGGAAAGAATTCCTGACAGACTACAAGACTGGCTTCAAACCGACGATTATGCTTTTCGAGAAAAGCAGGATGATAAAACGCGAAGGGTAATTATTCTGATCCCACGTCTCTTTTTCTAAAATTTCAATTACATTTTTTTAATTACATGCTTTAATTTTGTAAATGGTTTTATAAATTATTATTATACAATACATATACATATAACATATAATATATATTAATTATTATAGTAATTTAAAATATTTAATATTATTATTGATAACTTTATAAATTAATATTTCTATACGTACATGGTTCTGAACCTTTTTACTTTATTTTATTTTTTTATTGTTAAATGGGTGCATTATTTTCATCACTATTTTATTAAGTAAAATTTTAGACACGTGGATTATAGATCTTTTTAAATATCATATATTTAATTGCATTAATCATATTTAAGTTTTGCACAATTTTATGATTATTTAATTTTATTCTTTCGTATTTTTAAAAAGCATCAGTTCTGAAATTAAAAATTCTTTCAATCCTGTTTCTATAACTGCTTTGTTAAATTTCTGTTCGTGTCAATATACATATCGATATTCCAATCTATTCTATATGCTTCTTTAAAATAATGAAACGGTTTTTTCCGTTAATCTAAGCCTCTGTATATCGCGTATCTCATGCGGAAACCATTTGCCCAATCTTCCTACTGCCTATTGGGGTCAGATGGCGCTTAATTCTAGAACGGCTTAGTGAATTTCATTTGGAACACATGCTATCTGTTACAATTTGTCATAAAATTTTTCATTACTCCTTTTAACTTATTCCCTTAATCAAAAATTCCAATAAAAAGTCTGTAGACTTGAATCATAAACATAACAAAATTAAAAATCCACTTGATGAATTCAAATTTTGAGAAAATATTTCATATGTCAATTTAATTATGAAAGCGAATATTAGAAAGAATGCTTATCATTTATTTTCTTTAGAAGTTTATTCGAATAAAATTCTTTTCCGTTAATATGATTGACAAATATTTTGAAAAGTGGTATTTCTGATGAGTTGTAAACACTGAAATATATCATAGTAGTAGCTCTGACCTAGAAATAATGTAGGAAATTTAATAGGAAAATAAGAAACAATTGTAGATAATAAAGGAAAATATATTACCAATTAATTAATTAAAAAAATATTAATTAATTGAAATATATATATATCAGAAAAATCAGATTATTGGAATGACTTGATATAATTACAATGTTTTAAGAAATCATGGAAATTTTCACAGAATCATAGAAATTTTGAATTAAATTTTCAATTAATATTCTTATAATTTTACATCCAAAAAGCATCAATCATCAATCAATACGAAATTTAAGGGAAGTGGTGGTGGCAATTAGTAGACTCAAAATATAAAAGCTTAATATCGAGTGTTTACTAGTTTCCGAAATTTTAGTACTATGCATTAAATTCTATCGACACAGATGTTAATAATACAGCTCTCTTCATTAATCAGGGTAGATAAGGAAGCATTCGTTTATACCATTATGAGGTCTTATAAGGGCACATATATATACAAAATTCAATATAAGTGCAGAAAGTATTTTATTAATATTTCCAATATTAAGAAAGCAATAAATATTCAAACCTAAAATTTTATATTTTGAATTCATCTTGCCTCCCCGCCACCTTCTTAAATTTCGTACCAACTGATCACTGATGCCTTTCAAAAGAATATCCATTTTTATGACCAAAGAATTTTTTAAAGTGCAATATATATAATCCTATTGTATATATCAAATTACAAACTTTCAATTATTTAAAATCTACTTCAATATAACAGTATTTAGCATACAAGCTACAATACACTTGGAAAAAATGTATTTTATTTTTACATTTATATAATTTAAACAAATTTTTTAACCTAAACTTTTATGTTTTCTATTATCGTAAATTAATTAAATTCATCTTAATATCAACATTATTTATTTATTTTAATTTTAATGTAAATTATTTATTTATACATCGAATAGCAATTTGAAATATTTTTTGTATAAAAACGCTAATGGAATTTGTTTTTGCAGGTACAATCGAACGAACTACGTGTACTCTAATCAACAAGAGGATTTGCAATCAACTTTCGCTATATTACGGTTTTTTATCTAACAAGCTAATGAATTGCATATAGTTTATCTATTATTCGTCATATTCCTCAGGTTTTACCATATATATATACATACATGTATCTATACATTTTGTGGCGTGCAAAATTCATAATTTAATGTCGCGTTTCATTCATGAATTATGCGCAAATTATTCATGTGTCAAGCGTAAAGTAAAATATTAGCATGTGCGCATGAAATTGTTAGTAGAGCAAAAAATTTAAAAAAACAGAATGTATCAGTATTTTTTTTCTTCTGTATTCGTTATAATCGTTTTAATAGTAACTAGATTAATTTTTGTAGCACACGGAAAAGGAGGAAATTAGGAATACCGAGAGAAAAATAAAATAAATTGAATTATCGAAAATTCCATATGCAAGGAAATTTAACGTCAAATTGAGAATCGAACGTTTTGCTTCTTTTCTATTTCTTCCTTTTCGATAGCGCAAAGAGACGAAACAAAACAGTATTATGCGTTGTGATCCCATGAAGTCTGCCCAACCAGTAATCTCCACTGAAGACATTGCATATCCAATTTTGGATACAATTTAATGTAAATGTTTCTTCACGTTAGTATTAAGTTTCACGAACACGATGATACAAACGTTATATAAAGTATTTTATTATGATTATTTAGAAATACAGATAACCCAACTTTTAATTGACATTAACTGCGAAGAGTGCAAGAAAAGCGGAAAGCTGTATTTATCTATTGTACAGTAAAATTTCTTGAATAACCATGTATTCACGCAATATTTTGCTAATCATTTCAAGCCGAATTTAGGCGTTATTTACGAATATAGAATCCAAATAGCTGTAAATTTAATGTAATGTAATTATTTAAATATATAGATGAATCGCTTTGTTCTCAAAAATTTCATTCGTGGAAGGAATAAATGTAGTTAAGAATAAATGTTCCAAAGAAATATCTTGAACTTTCTCATGTAAATCACTTTTATTATTTTTGTTTGTGTTACCATCTTTGTAATCAACGAATTCTAATCGTGTTTTTTTATTTCTGTAACATCCACAAAGAGAGACAGATAATGAATTATATTTTATTGTTACCAAAGGAATACTACATTACAGACTACTACATTCAGAATAATCGGTGAATAGTTCCTTTCGTATGCACCATAGATTAATAGACATACTACGTTTTTCATCGAATTGTGTTTATGCCTATGTGAAACATCGAAGCGTGATTTTCTTTTCAAATATTTTAGTTTTAGTTTTGTATGATTTTTATACCTCATTGAAGATTTCATTGAATATCTTCAATGATAACAACATTACACTTAATTCACGATAAAAAATACTTTCTTAATTAAATTATGCTTGCAAAATGTATTTTATATGTATTTCTTTTTTGTCTTTTTACTTCATTTTGGTTAATTTTTCTAATATTCTTTCATTTTTATATCGACCACTCATAATGACTGTTTCCTGTGACTATTTTAAAAATACAATAATTAACGCTTCTGATGTTTATGTTAATATTGAGAAATAAATGTAATTAGACTTTATTATTATTTATATATTATATTATATAACTTATTGAAAAAGTGTAAGAAATTTTTAAAATATTATATGTAATATAGACTTTATTTATTTTGAAATATACGTAAAATATTACGTTTATTTATTTTCAGTTTAGCTTTTTATTTTTACGACATAATTGCACAATGCATAATTAAAATGAAATAAAATTGATTTAAAATAAATTTGTTATATAATTTAATTACACCTTTATCACTAAATATGATATAACAAAATATAATAAAAATAAATCACATGGTTGTACTATTTCTTAAAAAGGTTTATTTTATTCCTTATTATCGATGTTCGTATAATGCTTAGTATTATCATTAAAATTACAACATGTACCCATCCACTTACAGTGAATGAAGATAGTATTTTGCTCTGGAAATATAATATCTGTCAAACTGTTTCAAATTGTACAGAGTATCATTGAAAATATGAATGTACAATATATTTTATAAACATTTTTAACAGAATCTTAGGAAGAATATTTTTAAAAAAGCCACATTTTTTATTTTATATTTATGTTCAAATTTTTGTTTAACTCATAAACTATCGAACCATTTTAGACCTATGTATAAATAATTAATACTTTATGAAACTATACTCAATAAGCTTGAAGTAATTGAGAAACGTGGCCACTATTTTGGATAATGAAGAATTGAACAAAAATAAAACAAAAAGTATTAAAGGTAACTTAGAATCATAATAAGTCCAAGAAATTAAGTATAGTCTATTATTCAATTGCGATCACATTTTACGAAGGTCAAGAACAAATACACTGCCATCAGATGCAGAAGCACCAACTTTGTCACCTCGACTGTTCCAACACACTTCAAAAATACCACCGGTACCTTGGTAACTGTGCACCAATTGACCATTCTGCACAATTAAATAAAAAAATAAAATACATATAAACCTCTTTAAATACAATAAACGAAATAAAAGTAACTATCTCACCTGAGTAGACCAAATATGAACACATTTGTCAAAACTTCCACTAGCAAGAAATTTACCATCTGGACTAAATGCTACACTATACACTGGTTCTGTGTGTTTTGTAAGTCTGTGTATACATGCACCTCTTTCTACATCCCATAATCTTACAGTAGAATCAAATGATGCACTAGCTAAGGTTAAATTCATATTTGGATTGTGAGTTCCAGGTCCAGTTGGAGACCATTTAATAGTATATATTTCTTTGCTGTGAGCTTGTAGATCGTGTACCCATGTATCTTGTTTCATAGACCAAATTTTAAGACTCATATCATCGGAACAACTAGCTAATAAATTGCCTTGAGGATCCCATTTTATAGCATTAACTTCATTCTATGATTAAAAAGAAGAATAAACCACCTTAGTTTTTAATGAAATATCTAATTAAATTGAAAAATAAAATTATTTGTATAGACATACCGTATGACCTTGGAAGCTCTTAATTGGTTTATCAACATTAAGTTTGCAAACATGAATGCATTGATCTGTAGAACAACTTGCAAATGATGTATTTGTTTGCCAATCAACATCTAAGGCAGGAGCACAATGAAAACTAAATTGTTGAGTACATTGCCCACTTTCTGCATCCCAAATAATTGTTGTTTTGTCAACTCCTGCACTTAATATGTAGTTTCCACGTTTATTCCATTTTAATGCAAAAATTGGACCTTTATGTTGACCTAATGTGGATGCTAATTTGCCATCTGTTTTCCAAATTCGTGCATAACCATCATAACTTCCTGTTGCTAATAAGGTACCATCACACTAAAACATATTTACAAATTTAATAAGTATCTTTTTTTAAGATATTGCCATTTTAAAGGTAACAGTCATTTTACCTTCCAATCTAACGAAGTAACGTCTTTATTACTTGGAACTTCAGTACCACCTTTTTGTATACAGTGACGAAGAACAAGCTGATTTGGAGCCTGAGAACTGCCAGACATATCCCAAATACGAGCTGTACTATCTCCTGAACCAGAAGCCAAAAGATCTGTTGTTGGATTCCATGCACATATGAAAACTTCTGATTCATGACCACGTAATATAGTAGCTTTAGTGTCTGGAATTTCAACAGCGCTAGCATTAGTTCCCCTGCCTGAACCTTGTTGTTGCTCATCTACTTCCATTTCAGTCCTATCTCCTCCTCTCTCATTTGTGCCTACACCTTCATTGGAGGTAACAACTGAAAACAGGTCAGTAAGTTAATAACAATTATCAAATGCAAAGTTTTCTCTCCTGTGTGTAATTATATATGTAACACGAAATAAAGAAATTTTGTTTAAAAAAAATTGTTTTAATATTTAGCAATTGTCTTTTCTTACTCTAATATTGTTCTATATTTATATTATTCAGAAAATAAAAACTAATTTTTTTTTACAACTATATGATAACACTATCATAATGATAATAGTATCTTCATGATAATATTATTTTCATGTAAAGGTAAGACATAAATTAATTTGTAGATAATAAATCTTTCAACTTCTAATTTTTATTCTTCATTCCAGATCACACACATATTAATAATATTGTTTGCCCCTAGTTTACGGTCATGTTATAAATTTAGTAAAGAGTTTAATTTTGCTATATCAGAACATACTTTAACAATAAAAAAACAAACTTTTTAATTCATTATTGAAATAGGAAAAATATATTTTGTTCTAATATGACTGTTATAACAAAAAGTACTCATAACAAGCCCGGCAACTAAAGCAGTCCATTACTATACCTGGTTTAATAAGGAGGTCTATAAAATATAAATACTTTTATAAACCAGGGTGTACCAGGATATTAAAATAATTCTTAGTTTTAAAATATAATATATAAAATATAATATTAATGAAAATTAGTATAATGAATAAAGTTACCTTCTTCTCCATTTGTATCTTGTACTTCTGTTTTCACCTGTTGTTTTTGCTGGTTAATTTGATTTTGCCTTGATGCCACAACATCTGGCATAACAGCATCAATAAGAGATAAGGATTCCACCATTCTTTGTTCGGTGCCATCTTCACCTATTGATATCTCTGCTTCTGTATATTGTAGCCCTTTTTGCAGAATTGATAAAAGTGCAGCTGGTGGTACTAATGCTCCATTTATGTTACTTTGTGATATATGTGATTCTATGCCAAATGTGTATGCAGAATGTTGAAATCCTACAAAATGATTGAAAATGTATTTAAAATGTATTCAAAAATTCAGTAATTAAATTAAATTAAAATAAATATACATTTATTTGTGTTCAAATAACCTCCTTAAATCACGCTTAACCTATGTTTTATAGAATGTTATTAATTAATGAGACATTTTCAATTGCAATTATTATTGTAAAAATATGTATGCATTATATAAGTAACAGATACATATAAACAACAAAAATTTAAACTTTACCGACATTATTTAATAAGAGGTTACCAAGTACTCCAAAAAACATACCAGATTCTTGAAGGTATCGGTAAACCAAGAAATTGACTTCATCACTAGAGAAGCTCATCGTTCTTTGCTTTCGCGATACTAGCACAACATATTTATTGAAAGTTGCGCCTAAAAATCACTTTGATCACGTCGGACGCTGAGATTGCCGCGTCGAGGCCACTCTACAAGATATAGACACATTACCATGAGATCTTACCATTGGTCAAGAAATACGAACAATAGTGTGTTCTAAAAAGATACATCACTAACTTCAACGTAATTTTATCTTTTTTCAAAACAACAAAAAGGGAAAGGACAAACAATTAGATTTCATTCATATAATGTTTTCAAATGGATTATGTAAACAATATAAGTGCACTTGTGCAATGGAATATAACAACCATCTAGCATTGGTAGTATCTGTTTATATAAAATACTTTATCAAATAGAATAGCTTTAATTAAAAATAACTTCTACGTATTCACAACGAGCGTTACACATTATTCTTAAAAGTTTCAAGTATTTGAATAATGAATACCATTTATAGAAATTTATCGGTACCATTACGACATTTAATAGTATTTACAGCGAATCCAATATTTCAAAGAGGTTCGTATTACATTCCTAATAAATATATTTTCATATGTTCTTTAAACGTTAGTTAAATTGAACAAATCTTCAATGTAAGGTTAGTTTAAATATATTAATCTTTGAAAGATAATAAGTTTATTTTTATCAATTCTTGTAAAATATAAGATAATTTGTATTAATTCTTACTTATAATATTTAAAAGAGATCCTTTATATCCATTTATAATGATTTTATTATGATGACTACATTATAATTTATGAAGAGTTTATTATTAACATTAATTATTTTTTATTTATATAATTTTCATTCTTGATAGAATAAATAAAATAATAATGATCTCCAGTATCCTAAAAATGTTAAAAATTTAATAAAATATATATTCGTAAAAAATGTATAAACTCAAACAGAAAATTAATTGAATTATCACATATTCATACATTTAAAAGTTTTTGGTATATTAGAAATAATCTTTTTTTTTAGTCATATTAAATATTGAATAAATTTCAAAATAAATTTTCGTCCAAATTTGAAGGTAAAAAAAGAATACATCATTTTTTTATGATTTTATAATTTATTTAAATTACTTGTTATTTATATTTTGCATTTGTCATGCAGATGAATCATTTATTATTAATATAACCTTCAAGGTTATATTTCCTTATAATATTCTCGTTTCTTACATATATATACATATTTATTTGGAAAAATATAAAATTTCTAATAACTAATAAATATTTTCAAATTTTTAATATTTAATAGATAAACTAAAATCTTAATTCAATTTTATTATGATAGTAATTATGATTTTCGATTACGACATTTACCCCACCTTATTTTATCTTATACCAAATCTTTTTAAGTACCATAGCTATGATGTTCCTATTATGTGATTTGAATGTTAATACAAGTCACTATGCAAATCTTATTATGGATTTCTTTTTATAACGATAATTTTACATTTTTCAAAACTTTAAACGAATACTACAACCATTCCAGTGTTTAATATTGATAGAAGATCATATGTTATTTTATAAACATTTAATTTACTTTTTATTTGCATTTTTAATTTATCTTTCATTATGTTTATGTATTAAATGATAGATATAACAACTAACAAATTCTTTCTCATTATAATAATTAAATTATGTAATTAACTTTATCTAACATGCAAAATAAATTTTATTATTATTTATATGTATATATATTACGTTATCACTAATAAATAGTAAATAAAACTGACTAACATAAAAGAAGTGAATAATATCGAATAATTTATAATTTTTATATTTTGTTTATTTTTTACAAAATATTTAAGTACATGATTTGTATAATTTTTGTCCTAAACACTGATTTTCTCTCATTATAATAACAGAATTTCGTATATAAAAAAACTATATTCCAACACTAACTATATTTGACTTTGAATATGTTTCCCATTTTTTCTAAATTATGGAAAAAATTACAAATATGTAAAAGAATAATACTATTTCATTAATCTGTAATTTTTCCAAATAATAAATATTGATTACATTTTAGTATAATAGTTTATTATGATAGAAAATTACACTTTTTGTGTGTATCAAATATGACAATTATTTCGTATATTTGTAAATGATTTTTACTAATATTTTACTAATATATGACTATATTAATTCTTAAGTATAACGTACGCTAAATATGAATATTATTATTTTTGTACTTCCCTTATTTAGAATTTGAACAGCAAAAATTCCTAAAAGTGTATGCTCTAGTCACATCACCTAGTTTTTTCCTATCGGAGCCACGTATAACTATAAAAGCATAATTATCAAATCTACTTGCCAGACAAGCTGATTGGTTAACTCAAGGTCACGAAATTCGATCGTCCATGTTTCAAAGGAGCAGGCAGCAGTGCCGCTTCTGTTCTGTTGGTGTATAGTTGCATAGTTGTGAGGAAAGCGCGGCAAGCAACCTGAATTGTTTCTTTTTTGTGTTATTAAAATTGCTGTATTGCATTTTTCTTAACTTGTTTTAAGGCTCAGTTAGGAGATTGACTATGGAAATCGATAGAGAAGAATTAAAAAAACGTTTGACGTCGTTACAGTGGCACGTCACACAGGAAAAAGGTACAGAGAGGTACGTGTATCAAGAACTTAATTTACTTATTATGGAATTAGGTATGAATTATATTATTCTTATTTACTTCTTAAGTTACATATTTGTATTGATCTTTGATTTTATTAGAAAATTAGTTGTAATTATGGTTAAAATTTCGTAAAATATAAAAACTTTGCTATCGCTATACATGACTGCATATACATAAACAATACTTTGACACAAGTTGACTGCAAAGTTTAAAGTTTTTAATACAATTTTAGATAACGATTACATTTTTCTCAGAGTGTAGTGTGTAATCTAATAATAATAACTAATTGTAACTTTTGGATTTGGTAATTTTCCAAAATTATATTATAATCAAGTTCGATTTATAGATTTTATTTTTATGTATAATTGTTAACTAACAATGTATTATTAAAATTTTAGTCACATAGGTTCAAATAAATTACAACATACATATGATTCAATTTTCCAAAAATATTGCCCGTATGGTGGAAACTGGTTTACTTTTAGGTGATGTGAGACTGAAATAACTTTTTCAAGAGCATGTGTTGGCTTGACTTTGCGTCATGACCGAGTGGTTTAAAAATAAAGTATAGGTCTTCATAATTAATTTCCTAGTATACATGCTTCTTGATACTTTCAACTTTTTTTGTTTACTTATATAGACCTTTTTCTGGTTGCTACAACAAATTCTATGAGAAAGGCACATACACTTGTATAATTTGTGATCAAGAATTATTTTCTTCTGACACAAAGTACGACAGTGGTTGTGGTTGGCCTGCATTCAATGAAGTATTAGATCAGGGACGAGTCAAGTTAACCAAAGATACTTCACATGGTAAGTGCATATTTTTATTTTAAATTTACTCACAACTTTTTTAGAATTATGCTCGGATCTTACTACAGTAACATAGTATTCATTATACATATCATTTCACATTAATTAAAAGTATATTGCTTAAATGGTACATAGATAAACTCCTGATGAAATTTGATTTATATATAATAATGTTATATGAGAATGAATTTTAGAATTTTATCTATTTACCATTCTCAAACATTCTTCATTTTTTCTTACATTCACTCTATCACAAAACCTTTCCTAAAATTTTAGTTCTGCTACTCCTAAGCCTTCCACAATTTGTATATTATTTAATTATATTAAATTTTCATAATATTTTATATGTAGCACAGATTCACAGATGATGGTTGAAGTATTATAATATCAGTTAGTAAAATACATCTGTATAATATATTTTTATAATATTTTGTGCATGAAAATTTGGTCAATATTAATGAAATTTTGTTGCAGATATGTACATGTTCTTAACATATAAGAATAAAATGACTTGCACATTTATAACATTATTACTATTTATGTAATTTGTTTGTATTTAAATCATAATATATGGAAGGCAATGTCCCCTTCATCCTTCACCTTGCATGTTAATGCTTAGAGTGTGATTTGTGTTAGACTTATATCACCTATTGTATGAACTAAAGTCATACTTATGCATTAAATATCATATGCATTAAATATCATATTTTCTATATTGTTATATAAAAAAGGAATTAATATTTCATGCTATTTAATTAAAATAATTTTGCCTTATAGCTTTGCTTTATTTGATATTGAAATTAAAAAATTTTAAATTACTATAACTGTAAACTTGAAACTTAACTTATATTTTATGTGAAATTTTAAATTAAATACTTTGATTATTTGAAACTTAAATAAGAATTTATAAATTTAAGTTTATATTAGAAGTGTGTTTCTTATCATTTTTATATTAAAGTAATTTATGTGTTTGTTGGTGTTAGTTATATTGAATTTTACTTATGTGCAAAAGTATATGGGTAAATAAAAATGTATGACGTGCAATATTCAGTAGATTATGATTACAACATTTGATTAGTTATTTGAATGGTACTCTATATGCTGTATACAAATAAAATTGTAACAATATATAAAAATAGGTTGAATAAAATTTATATTTTTGTATTTTAAATATTTCAATTATGTTAATCAAATAAAAATGTTTTTTTTTCGAATGGTACCATAAAAATATCTAACTAAAGAGACAAATATTGCTCAAGACTATTTTAATATATTTTTTAATTCTGTCATACAATATCAAGACAGTTAGATATCAAAGGGAAATTTGGAGAGAGCTTCGATGGATGATTAAAGCAAGGAACAAGATTATGGGTATTGATTAGAATGTGTAGCTATTTCTTATTTTATATATTCTTTAAGGAACGTAATTGATAAAATATATTTTCACTTTTAGTTAAAATTTCTATTTCCTTTGAAACTTATTTAGGTTATTGATTTTAATTTTTATTGCGATCAATCTATTGCTTTTATTAATATTAGTTTACTCTTTTTGGTGCTGTTATAACTGGAAAACATTTAGAGTACACAAACAAAGGTGTTGGTCTGCGTTTAATCACACTCTATTATTCTATTTCCTTTGTCTTCCTATTGCTCCGCTACCATCACTTCACTCTCACCATTGACACACGAAAACTGCGTCGACAATTGACGTACAGTTGGTGGAAATCTACTACTGCTGATCGCAAACCCAGATATGGTGCGGACCGAGGTGACCTGTTCAAAGTGTGAAGCTCATTTGGGACACGTATTCAATGATGGGCCAAAACCTACAAGAAAGCGATTTTGTATCAATTCTGCATCTATAAACTTCCATGCAGCAGGAGAGGAGAAGAAGACAACATCATAAAACTGGCAGAACACAAAATTTTAAACTGCTTAAGAAATTTAATGTAATTCGTACTATAAAAAGATTTATATTTCTTAATAAATATGATTGTACTTGGTAATTTAAATTACATTTTGATATGTTTTGTTACTCTAGAATTTTCGTGCGTATTTTTATTAATGTAAACAAACATTATTGATAATTACAAATATCTTTATGTTAAATTCTGACATACTATAAATATTCTATAGTTATTATGGACATGTATCTTGTATAAGTATCATGGACTCTGAATTTGATTTTATTTGTTAGGAAACAAAGATTACTATACAAAGTATATATTTATAGTTGTAAGCTATATTAGGTGAATATTTGCATTATTATAATCTTAGAATAAATTCAATTCTGTACATACACTCTAAATGACTGTAAAATAATACATTTAGTGTGTATAAAATGTAAGAACTCGTAAATTAATGTAAAAGATTCGAGAAATAATTTATAAATTCTGTTATTTTTTCATGTTACATATACTGAATATAATATGCAAATAATAAGTACTATTTATCTGACTCAATATACTAATTATATAAAACGTTTGATATTTCGTAGTTATTTATGATATATAATCCTTTAATGTCAAACTAAATAGGTTATTACTAAATTTAATATATAGTTTACTATGCTTATAGAATAATACCTTACGATTTAATATTGAAATGGGAAGAAGGCATTCATTTAAAAACAAAGATATTTTTGTTATAAAATGTTTCCTTATATTTTAACGTTTCAAAACAAACTAAAAGGTGTTACAGTACAATATATACGCAAATTCTAGGCATAATTTTTACAATAATTCATTCTCCATTTGCTGCTTCTTTCATTTTTAAATTCGATACTGTTAAGTATTAGTTTTCCTGAGAAACCAGATTTTTACCAAATGTTTCCATTAGATAATAAATGCCAATTTTATACAAATAGAGGTACAGTTAAAATGGGAATTTTTATCAAAAATTCGAAGCCAAAAATTTGAATAACATGTATACATAAACTAACGGCTTCTTCATCACTAGGCCTGATTCGTTTTATAATTGAGATCTCAAAGCATTTTCAAAAACATCATAAAAAAAGTATTGAAAACATGCGTATACATACTTAACTTGATTTGTGTATAGGAACCTATTTCATAGTTCTAACTGACAATAATACATTTCTTATGAGGATACATAAATGCACTTGGAACAGTAATCGAGATATAGATGCAAAAATATTTATACTTGTCCATATTTTTATTAAGTATTTTGCATAAAATGTTATATAGTTTTCAATATTAAAATAATAATTATTTTAATTGTATAAGTAATACTTTTATTACAATAAAGCATAGTAATACAACTTTTGTACTTCTGTTTACTAGGTAAATAAACAAATTTTGTTGGAAATATTCAAATTTCTAATTATTATTTGTATGCATTTATGGAATCTTTCAACACATAGACAAATAAATTTTGCATCCAACTTATCTCGATTTACGAATAAAAATAAATCTTATAAATAGCTGCTTGTAGTTGAAATATGCTTAATAACTGCCGCAGTAAAATAATTACATAAAATGGACGTTACTTTTTTTTTTCTAAAGATATTTGTGAAAATGCAGGACCTCGTTCAGTATTCCTGATCGAGTTAACGTCAATTTTGACCCTGAATGGTATCCTTTTTTTTTTTCTTTTTCAGAAATGTATGTTTATTAATACTAAACTTGCACATTATTTTATTCTCTATACCTCCTATCATTGCTTACAATTCCCAAATAATTTGGAGTTGATGCTGAAACAAAATAGTGCAAGAACTTATCCTCACAGAATACTGAAACAAATTTCATGCGATTATATATTATAATCCCTGATTCTTTATAAGTAGGTAGATTTAACCTCCAACATACAACTCCAAATTTAGGCGTAAGCGCGATACAAACTGAGCTGCTTCGTCTGTCAAGTATAATTAGATATTATTGATTATTATAAAAAACTAATCAGGCTTTTTAATATTACGAAAATAATAAACTCAGTAAATAATGAATACATTATTACATATACGATTGTTCATTACCAAATAACGTATGCCTTTTCTTTTTTGTTTCATATGTAATATATTGTTAATTTCTTCAATATCTATTATAATTTTACGTGGCGTTCTTTAGCTTTAGTTTACGATAAACTTCTATATATAATGAAGATGCAAAGAATAAAAGTAACAAATTCGAAAATGAGTATTTCTTAAATTAAAATTATCCAAGGTTTCATTTTCAGTAATATATGTTTAAGATATAATACAATTAGGAAAGACATTAATTATTATGTTTAATGTAGTACAACCATGTAGAAACCTTGTCTTATGTAATTGTCAACATAAATTTATATATTTTTGTCGATCTGTATGTCTGTTTGTGTATTAAACAAAATATTAAATTATTCTGTTGATGGTTCAAGATTATAAGGAATCTAGCGCGAGTTTTTCACGTCTCTAAACATGACAAGACAGGCACTTTATAGTGTCACAAAATGTTCCTATATCTGAACCTTGTTTTAAAATTTCGTCCGTTCACTTCTTGTAAGACACGTTAAAGACAACTTATGTTTGACCTGTATTGAAGAACACACGTAACTGGACATTCGTCCATAGAAAGATGTTCTTACATCTAACATATTTTAGTAATGAGGTCAATATCTCAACGTGTCTTGTCAGCGATGCAAATGAGAAAAAGTACTTATATTTTATCTTACAATTATAAATGAATAGCTTTAAATAAGAATCGCATGTATTAAATTTATCATAAATTTCATTATATATGAAATTAATTTTTTATACTATATACACATTAACATAATGCAAAAACTGCAGTGTCCAAATATTTAAAAAATCTATTAAAACTTCAATTTAATATAACATAATAAAGTTTGCTAACTTCCAATTACAAGAACGTGATTCTTGAGAACGTTTAAAACAAGTTAGGCTATCGCTTACACATCTACGTCATGCTGACAGACCAAAGACTGAAAACATATTGCTCTGCTCTCCATAACTTCATTCAAAAAATATAAGTCTGACATGAAGACCAATTTTCTTCTTCTACGATTTCTTGTTAAACCATAATAATATATTAGAATAGGTCCTATGTACTTGTTCACATTTGTTTATGGTATTATCTAATAAGGTTTTTGCTATAAATAATGTATGTTTGTAGCTAACTCTGATCTTCAATTTTAGAGTCAGTAATACTAGTTTTATATCTTTAGAAAATAACTGACAGTCGCTTGAAAATCCTCGATGACAGTTCAGTATTAGTACAAGAGCTCTTCAGGCAACAACCCACTCGTACAGTTTATCTTTTATTTTGAAGACTATTTAAATAAAATGTTGAACTCTTAGTAACTAATAAATACCCATCGAGGAATACAAGATTTCTGCCGTCAGATCGTTCACAGTTCTTCTGATTTAACTTTATTTCCTCGCAACATGCGAGAATCGAGCAATTTAAAAACTTTGAAACCATTTCTCGATACTTTTCAAGGTATCGGATAAGTTCTATCTACCATTGCAAAATTATATTTTTATGATCATATTGTATGATCACGAATACCACTCTTCTAATTACCTTTAGTAGCTTCCTTTGCTGCCATAATTAAAGGTGTTAAGGAAGCAAGTGGCCTTGCTAATTTCAGAAAGGGATGCTGCAATTTGCCATAAAAATACAGGTTTTATTACAATTTATCCCATTTATGAATTTAAATCTGACACATATTGATAGTTTATATTTGATTAAACATACCTTGAGTAATTCTGAAGCCGCTGATCGTTTTTCCACTTCGACTTCTAAACATTGATCCAAAAAATCTTGAAAGATTCCTGACAATTTATCTTTTTCTTTAATTTCAGGTTTTCCATTTGTTGCAATCAAATATAATGCTCTTAATGGATTTTCATTTAAATATGGTGGTTCTCCTTCTATCATTTCAATAGCCATTATACCCAACGACCAGATATCAACCTGTAAGATTTAGATAATTTAAACATTATAATATAATAAATTAATTTTATTTTTGCATATATATTTACCTTCGGACCATATTGTTTTCTAGTAACTACTTCTGGTGCCATCCAATATGGTGTACCAACCATTGTAGTTCGTTTGCTTTGCTCTGGTGAAATTTGTGCACAAAACCCAAAATCAGTTAGTTTCACTCCACCGTCTAGCCCAAGTAGGATGTTATCAGACTTAATATCCCTGTGTATAACTTGATTACAATGAAGGAACTCCAAAGCTTGTAGGACTTCTCTACATACTGCGGCTATTTGACCCTCATCCATACAAGTCTCAGTTACAACATCTGTCAGACTACCACCAGGCAAATATTCCATAACTACCCATAATTCTTCTCCTACCAGATAACTATCCAAATAATTCACAACATTTGGATGTTTATTCTCCCGCATAACTAATATTTCATTTATTATTAACTCTTTCTTTGGTTGTTGTGAAAGATTCATTTGTTTTATTGCAACTTCCATACCTGTTGATGTTTCAATTGCTGTGTACACTGTTCCCGAAGCACTGAAAAATAACATTATGAATATATAAATATATCAAGATAATTCCTTAAAAGAATATTTATATTTTATATACATTATATAACTTACCCTTGTCCTATTTTTTCCATCTTCGTATATTTTCTATTTGGATCACCTATACTTACAATTGTTCTTAATTTTTCTAATATTTCATCATCTGACATTTTTTTCTTTCTAGCTTTATCACTCTGTGCTGGTCGTGTTTGATCAGTTGTCGTTGATGTTGGGGTCGCTTGATTTTTGTTTCTATCCAGTTGTGATTGATGTGGCTGTTGTGGTGTACCATTTCGTTGAGGTGATCCTAATGTAGTAGTCAGTGGTGGTGGCGGTTCTTCTTCTATTGGCTTTGTATACTATCGTCAAAAATTTTATTTTTTAAATTAATATTTCCATTTGAATATATAAAGGCAATGTGTTAATTTTGAATAGTTCGTAAATAATCATTATTACTTACAATTGATTTCGTACGTTCGGGCCTAGCAGAAATCGGTGGTGGTGGCGGTTCATCTTCTTGTTCAGAACTAGTCGCACAAGCATCTGTTGGTGTACTGCTTGGACTACTGCTACTTACTCTATGATTTTATTGTTTCTCAGAAAATATTTAAATATATATCATATAAACAAATTTGAATGTATGAAAGACTCACCTGCTGAGTGAATGTTGAGAATGAGAACTTCCAGAAGCTTGTGACATTGCTTGACCACGAATGTTTCCTACTCCTGTTCCAACACCTATACCCATGCTTCTAGGACTACTTGCTCTTTCAATAGGAGCTAAATATAAAATTTTATATGTTTGAGTATAATAATAATGACAATGTAGATGAGACTATACAAATAATATTAACTTACCAACTACTCCAACCATTTTTGTAGTTGTCATGTATTTGGAACCTTTTGTTTCTTTACTGCTACTGTCATACCAATTCAAAACATCTAATACAGCTTGTGGATTTTTCTTCTGTTCTTGTTTACTGATATTACTAGACATAAGCAACCTTGCCCATGCTTCTGGCATCCCCTAGGACCAAAAGTTATGTTCCAAAGCAATTATTAATACTTTTATAAACATAAATTTTTAAAGAAGTAACTGATACAGGGTATAATATTTACAAAGGTACAATTCTCAAAGTTTTGAAAACTAAGAGAACATCGTGCAAATATAAAATATTTGAGAATTCAATTATTACATGGAAGAAATAGTAAGATTTTAAGCACTCAAACCAATATTAAATTTCATTCTGCAAGAAAGCAATAATATCAAATGCAACGTTGACTAAAGCCTCTATTTATCTACTAAAGCAGCTATGCTTGTCATCTATAATAAATTCTAAATAAAGTATAACAACTTAATCATGTTAATTGCAACAAAAACAAACAGTTAAATCAAGTGTATGTATAATAGAAAAAAGTACAGACAATCTACTTTTGTGGTCATTTGAAATTACTTACTTTTAATGGCAGCTTGAAAGAAATACGTGTTTAGTTAGTTTTTCATGTGAAAAAATAATAGGTATAAAAAGCATCAGACAAATTACCAAATTACTTTTCCACAATGTCCATACACATGTGAACAAGTGATGAAAATTTAATTTTTTTTAGGTACGAAAAATCCATTGGATACATGTACTTTATAACAAGTTTCTATTAATATTTAATAATACATTACTAGTTGCTCTTGTAATGTTATACATATAATTTTATAATTTTTAATACATATAAATTGCTAATAGAATATGATTATTTTGTAAAAATATATTTACTTTTATATCTACAAAATTAGCTTATTGAAATATAATAAAACTTTTAATATAAAGTAAATAATAATCTTTTAGTCTACAGTAGTGAAATTTATTTTATCTTCTCATTTGTTTCTTCTTATTTATTATACAATGTACCAGTAAGTCAATAAACTAATGATTTGTAAAGAAAATGTTAAATATTATATGCCAATAAATATTAATTTAATAATGTTACATTACCAAGAATAACAAAATAATATAGAAACAAACATAAAAATTTGATTAGAAATGTTTCATATGTAAGAACTATTACATTTTTTAAGAAGAGTCTGCAAAAATTTATATAACCAGTAATGTAATGAAATAAAGAAATATTTATTACTGTGTAATGTTTATTTGGATACTTCGTACCATTGTATAGTAGCAAAGCAGAAAGCGAGTGCATTTTGAACAATAGTAACAAATTACAAATAGTAAATAGACTTACCGTAAATTCACCAGTAACAGCATCAAATCCAACATGTACAGTATGTTCAAAATTGGTGGGGTAACTGATGTTGGGTTTATCCTTATTCTCTTTTACCTTCATTTTGCTTTTCAATGTTTTTTTCTTGCGTTCATCAGAATCAGGTTCTTTAGGTAGTGGACGCATATCCACTGGTAAGTTAGGTGTTGATTCACCTCTGAAATGTTTTAAATTTATCATTATATAAATATAAATTACATGAAATAAAATAATCTTACTTTTATACATTTACCTCTATATTTTACTTATTATTAATAAAAGTTCTGGACTAATTTTTATATTAGTTACTTTCAATATATTTAATTATTTATAGTATTAACAGCATATAAAAGATATAATTATTCATATACTTCTAATTCACGCTTAATTTTTAAAACATATAAATATACATGAATATAAAATATCAACATCATGTTTGTATATGTAATATAGATTATTTAGAAAATTAATATAAAAATGACACATATATGCATATATATAGTATATACCCAAAAGGTATATTACTAAGGCTACACATAAAGACTTAAAAGGATGGTCTCCCACATCAGAATGTCATCGTGTCTGAACTGTGGGATTTTATTTTTAGCAACCACTAGATTAGTGTCTGTTACTCTATTTTTGGGAGATGCAGACCTTTACTTATTGCAAAGAAAATAATAAGAATGCAAAGTGTAACAAACTCATTAATTTTTAGTGTCACACATAATATAATACAAAAATATTCCAATATTACATTTATCATATAAAAGCAAAGTACTACAAAATCAAACATTAAGTATATTTATGTTTCAGTAAATATTTATATTTCTAATATTACATGCCAAATTTTTATTTTGAAATTTTTTAATTGTTACATGGTAAATAATATAACATTCAATATAACATCAAGTTACCTATTTGATGTAAGTCGCACAGGAGGTGCAGGGGGTTTATCTTCTTCATCTGACATGTTGTCTTTACTTTTATCTCTTTGTTGCCAATTTATCTTACGTTGCTGCGTTTCTATAGTTTTGTTTAAAGATTTATTTAATATTATTAACTCCTACTTTAGTGATTTTAGTTATTATATTATACGAATCCTAAAAGACTATGGGTTTGAATCACAGTACACAGAGACTTTATGTTGACAAAAACACCAAGTTGTCTGTTGAAAACATAAGATTCTAAGATCCATTCACTTCTGTTTTTGAAAAAAAGAAATTACTTCTTTGAATTTAACCAATGTTAAAACAATGTTTAAAATTCCGGCTCTATATCACGAGCACGGGTAGATAGACTCTTGATGACCGGTAAAGAACATGAAACAAAACGGAGCAAAAATGCCCCTCCTCGTGGGTGACAGTTTCGGAAAACTACTTGCGAAAGGTCTTGTTCAATTGCGAAGAGTAGCGACGTCCTCGAACGGGTCAATGTCGTGAGTATGGGGTGTGCTCGAAGACGAGGGATAGACAGGCACCTCCAAAGCGTGATTCACGCACGGGTGCAGACACCGCGCCGCATCCACGGATCTCTAGTTCTTTCTCCCTCTCTCGCTCTCTCTCGCTCTCTCTCTCTCCTTCGTTCTCTCTCTCTCTCTCTCTCTCTCTCTCCCTCTCAACCCTTCTCACTTTCTTGTTCTCTCGATCTCCTTTACTATCGCGATTGCTCTTTCGTTTTAGCAGCGTTACACACCTCCCTTTTTTCTGTCCTCTCGTACTCACGAAAGAAAAAATACGATTGTATATCGTGTATATATGGCGCCGCTTTATCCACACGTCCGTGATGTGCCGCGTTTGGGCACGGCGGAGGCGGAACCACGCGGCGCTTTAAGTCTTATCAATGGTACCTCATTTCGTACATATAATCGACGCCCGATGTCGACGAATCTCTCCCTGTTCTTCTCCACGACTTTTCGACGTTGATAAGAAGTCTGAATCACCACCGCCGCCGCGGTTCTCTGGCACTGCACAGCGCCTCCACTGGAACACCGTTCACTCCCTCTCTTTCTGTATCTCTCTCTTTCCCATATATATGGCGCCGCTTTATCCACACGTCCGTGATGTGCCGCGTTTGGGCACGGCGGAGGCGGAACCACGCGGCGCTTTAAGTCTTATCAATGGTACCTCATTTCGTACATATAATCGACGCCCGATGTCGACGAATCTCTCCCTGTTCTTCTCCACGACTTTTCGACGTTGATAAGAAGTCTGAATCACCACCGCCGCCGCGGTTCTCTGGCACTGCACAGCGCCTCCACTGGAACACCGTTCACTCCCTCTCTTTCTGTATCTCTCGCTTTCCCTTTCCCTTTCTTTCCCTCTTTTCCACTTTTTCATTTGCTTCTTTCTCTTTTTTTCACCGTATCCTTCTCTTCGTACACTTACAAGGTTTGATCATTAGTACATACACACATATTTATTTTCACCCACACCTATTGTCAGTTAACACGAATAAACATGCACATGTGTATATATATAATTGAAAAAGAAATTTAGAATAATATAGGTTAAAACGGTGGCAAGACTGCAAGCAAATCAATTACAGGTCAGCCAACATAAAAACGAATATTATTATAAACTTCATTATGGTTTTACTCGTCAAAATGGAAACTTATTGTTAGTTGCATTAAAGAATTTTTCATAAATAATTTAGAAATGTCTATATTCAGTACATTATAAATTTTTAAACTTTATAGTGTATAAATAACAGCTTAGTAATTTTAACCGTTTGCTATTTCTATGTCGATACCTATTGATATTTTTATTTATGTTTGAACATAGTGAATTAAATATAGCTTTGTAAATTAATTTTATAGTGTATTTAAAACTATTCAGTGTTCTTTTGAGATTTAATTTAAAATTGAAAAATGAATTTAATATTTTTATAATTTACATAATGTGTTGAAATTACATTTACATTATGTGTTGAAATTTATCAATTTTTACTTTATAAACTTGTACTTTATAAAAAATTATTATCTTAGTTATATTTTCAAATTATATTTCTTATAAATAACTACAAAAAGCATATTGAAGGATTAACTACATATTACAATTATAATAAATAATTTCAAGAATATAAATTTAGAGGCTTAAAATGTAAAATATTATAATAATCAATATATTATTATTTATTATTTAGTAGTATTATTTATAATTGTATGTATATTAATAGGCACATAAGAAAGTAGTGTTATATATTACCTATATTTTATACAATTTTTGAATTTTAAGTTTTGTTTATTTTAACATGAATAAGTTTGTTTAAATTTTCATTGATGGTTAATTTTTTTATTTATAAATTTATGATAAAGATATAATGAATATAAATATTTATTGTTGTTTATTATCGTCAGCTTTATTAAATGTATTTGATAATACATATTGGGAGATAAATACTTTAACTATATTCTATTTGTATCTGTAATATATCTTTATAACTTAAAAGCAAATATGTAAGAAATTGTATTATGATAATTCACTTGTGATATATATATTTGAAGAAGTTTCTACATTTACAAATCCTAAAACATATATAAAAACAAAACATTATATTAAAAATATCTACGTATAAATTTTATTTTTATAATATAATGTGCTAAATTTGAAAATTACAATACAATTTTCATTGTCTTTTAAAAGTACTTTTGATTTCTATTCTCTTTACTCTTTACTTTTAAATTCTTTGAGTATAATACTATGATATTTTAATCTTATTTTCTAATTGTTAGATATTTTTATCTTTATGAAATATGGAATATTTTTAGCATCAATGTAAATTTTCTCGCATGATCAAGTTTATATTTATCATCAGTTAATATAAGAATAATATTAATATTGATTCTTTATAAATAACTTTTTTTATTGAGATAATTATATATATTACAGGAAATAATAATTTTAAAAACATACATTATTACACAATCACATTTCATCTTAACATAGTTTAAAAATATCAAATTTATTATTTGTTTCTAATGCATTTATTATATTAATTTAATATATTTAAATTTTAGTAAGCTATATATATCTTATATTTTTTATATGTTAATTATGTAATTTAAATATATTTGTAACAATATTAATCTTATAAATAGTAATAATACTTTTATTGTTTCAAATTAAAAGTATATGTATTTGTAACATACTATAAAATATTAATCTAAGAGATGTTAAATTATATGTAATTTAAAAGAAATAAAGGTATTTGTAATATTTTAACAATATTTAAATTTAATGGTAAGAAATGAAATATATTAGTAATGAATAGTAGTAAATATTGTGATCCAAAACTTAATTTAATGTGAGTCATAATTAATTAAAAATCAAATACAATTAAAAATAAATATACTAATATTTGATACA